CTGTGTGTGAACAGCCCAGGAGTGGGGGTTCTCACAGCAGAGCAGGGTAAGGCTGGCTCCCAGAGTCAAGGATTGGAGTGACCTAGCAGGTCACCAGTCCATATAACACCGGGGAGGGAACACCAGATCATCACCTTCAGAACAAGAGAATCTTGTTCCATTCCATCTTGGAAGCTCTCTCCCTGGTACCTTGGTTCCTGCCTGCAGTGTGATAAAATCAGACTCAAGTCAGACCCCTTTACTTGAACAACTCAGAAACTGCTGGAGTACCTTATTCATCTGTCTGCATCCATCTTAAAGACTAACTCAATCCAGATACATTTGATAGCTATTCTGATCTAATCATAGCCTAAGGTAGACCACTGTCTTTATATCCCATTATTAGCAGGTTCATGTGGGGCTTTTAAAGCCCACCTTCCATTATAAAACTTCTTCTGTTGTGGGATATCAGTATGGTCCTTACATAGGGGATGAAAGCTCCTTTTGAACTCTCTTCCTCTGGGTTAGAGTGTCTTACATAGAAGTAATTTTCCTGTTGACAGTGGTGTCAGCTCACAGAGTAAGAAAACTTCAGGCTCTGGTGAGTGATTTGCCTTTGTGACAAAGTCAGGTGGGACAACAGCAAGAGAGTGGTGGAAGGCAGGTATATTAGCTCTAGAATGATAAGGGCCCTTTTTCCTATAAACTGATAAGGGGTTACCCTAGGTCAATTAGGAACACCTGAATCCAATTAAGGGCTTCCTGAGGCCTTTAAAAACCCCTCCTCTGGTGAGAGAGGTGGAGAAAGAGACAAGCTGCTCCAAGGAGAGAGGCTGCTCTCCTTCCTAAAGGGGGGAACAACCAAAGCTGAGTGCCTGTTTAGGGAAGGACTGACACCCCGGGGCCAGCAATAGGACACCACCACCCCAGCAAGGGAGCAGGGAAAGGTATCCTCCTTTGTTTTGTGTTTGTAAAATGGTTTCTTTTTGTTTGCTAGAGGAGCACTCCTTGGGCCTGCTGTGAGGCCTACCTTGAAAATACTGATAAGGGAAGACAGACACTGTTCAGAGTGTGGTTGATTTACCCCAGGCCCCGCCTCTGCCAGAGGGGGAAGCGCTAAGTCCAGCAAGATAGAGTAAGTGCCTTGCCACACCTTATATCAGATTTTTCAAAGGATGAAGTGGTGCTATAGACTCATCTGATATTCTTCTCCAAGGTGATGATGAAGTTCCACCTTAATGAGCCTATTGGTTTACCAACACTTTTCTACGCTCGGGCCTCACGAAGATTGGCATCTTTCACTATATGCTTGATGATAGAAGGTCCTTGGGGTTCTGTTTGGCACAGACTAAAACCCATAGACAGTCCACTCAACTTTGCTTCTTTTGACACCAATTCATTGGACAGTCATATTACTAAGAGGACAGTGTCTAAGTGGATGTCTGATTACATTTCACATTGTTAAATCTGACTGCCCTGAAACTAGCTTTTTCAGTGCTCACTCAATTCAAGGCAAGGTTGTGCCACCACAACATTTTCAGAAATGTTTCCATCACAGACATCTGCAAAATAGCTATACAGACTTCTCTGCCCATGCTTATTTACAAAGCATTATTGCATGTATTCAGCGTTGTGGGGGAGGAATCTTGTTGTAGACTCTTCATGCTCCAAAACTAGTTTCCAAGGTAGAGAAGGCCAAACATCTCCAACCCACAGAATGATTTGCTTTACTTCACGAAGTCCCGTATTTTCAGTTGGATTTTCTTTCTTTTGGCTGTGTGCTGTACATTGTTGTACATTGTTTTTGTTGAGTTTGCAAGGAATCTTAGTAACACATATGAATTTGTGTATACATTTAGATAAACCCTCCCTGTTCACACTGTTGGCATTGACCTTAATTATTGTTGCTCACTGGAGCTCTACTTTTATCTTTCTTTGAAGAGATTACTCTCCAGGAATGAGACTCCTGACACAAATAGCATGTTTAGCAAAGAGGAAATGATTTTATTTTTAATTCTGCTTCTCTGAAGATATCATCGTGCAGAATTCTCACTTGTCCGTCCACCTCCCCTCACAGATTGGCGGTTACCTCTTTTGAGGTGTTTTTTATTTTCTGTTGATCACCTTGAACTGTTTAATTCTTCCTGGAACCTTCACCCCACGCTCAGCTGGAGCATCTGACTGAAATGGCCAGAGGGCAGCATTTATACTCCATGTGGTGGTGCAAGACAACCAGTAGGGGTCCTGGCTCATGCATTCCCTTGATAACACTGTTTTCAAAAAGACCTTAGCTTGGGGAGTTCTGCTGGTCTTGCACTAAAGAGCCAAAATCCACGAATGGGAATCCTCAAGGAGGTTGTTTCTTCAAAGAAGCAGAATTATATATGTCATTTTCCCTTTTGATCTCTTTAAATTTCTCTTGCCCTCCCTCTCCCCCACCTCCATGCAACATAAACACTTCTGATTACTTGTCACCATGAAGACTTTACTTTGGCATATGGGGGAGTGGGCAGGGGAGTGAAGCCATGCCACCAAAGTCAGTATCAATGCTATTCTGTGAATTTGCCAGTAGTAGGTGCTTTACTGTAGTGTCTTTGGAGTGTAGTTGAGTTGCTAGAGTTTCACTAACTTGAGCAACTTAAGACATAAAGCAGCTCCTGAAGCCTAGTCTCTTGCCGTGCAATTTAGCACTGCTTCTAGGTGACTGTGCTGGTTCTTCCATCCCTGCTTGAGTACTGGACGTTTCCTAGCCTTTTCCATTCCATTAGAGCTGCCAGGCTATCATCCAGCTACTGAGGCCAAGTTAATCACATATCCAACATGTTTCTAAGCCATGCTGAGTTCCTTCTTAATTTCCTTTCTCGTTCCTTTCTCCTTTGAGAGCAGTTACAGAGTCCAGAGCATTCCCCTCTGTCTCCTCCACCCCACTTACCCAGCTCATGTCATTTTGAGAGTCATGATCAGGTTGCTTTTGCATTTGTGATTTTTGGCATAAGCCCCTCTCCAAAGTATACTACATAATCATAAACCTTACGAAAATGTTGTTGTAATATTTCTTTAATAGTATTAGAAACAGGAAATTCAGTGTTAGAAATCCTAAGTTTTGAAAGTATAGAGACATAGTAACAGCCAGCCCAAAGAACACTAACTTTGCCTTCAGAGCAAGGTACTGAGAAACATCAGAAATGCTGAGAGAACCTTATCCACCCATCACAAATGTTAGTCCTAACAACAAAAGAAAAATGTGAATGTCTTACACTTAATCATATAGTGGTTGCCTTCTTTATGACAATACTCAGGTCACAGATAAGAACATACTCTACCAATTCCTGGTTAGATATTTCGCATTGTGAAGGTAGTCATTTTCCTTTCTTCATTAAGATTCCACTCCTTGCACAAATGTCATTACACACACAACTAACTGGTGAGTCTACCTATAGAAACCTGTTAAACACATCATATGAAATGACAGCACTTACTTCAAAAGCACAATTTGGAGACTGTGCAATGAATAAGGCAAGGGTTTGAGAATCCATTATTCCTTCTAGCCAAATTCTGGTTGCAATTATAATAGTGTGAATGCAGAGTAATTGAACTGGAAACGTACAGTGGTGTAACTGAGAAAGTTTGGTCCTCATTGCACAGTCTGGACAAGGCATAGTGAATAAGACAGGAGATGTACTCTCTGAACAAAATAAGTATTTAATTGCCATAGAGAAAATAAAATTTTGGTTGACAGTGGCTGTACTGTGTGCAGCATTCCTGTTAATTTCTGTTTTAAGAAGTTTTTTTCCCATCTTTTCTATGCACTGTACACTGAATAAGGAAGGTGTTCTGCAGAAGTAATATCGTGGTATCATGTAATTTAAAGTCCACTCAAAGGGACAGAGTTAGGGTTATGCAAGCAATTGTAATTTTAGCTTTTTCTAACATTTGGGTACTTAACAAGGCCTCTTTGATATTCTCAGTTTTGTTTTGTTTTTTAATGAAATATGTAGTAAAGAGAAACACATTTTTGCTACACATATTCAACAAATAAAAACACTTCTGGGCTGGAAGCATGCACTGTGACAAATTTAAGAAAAATGTAAATTACAATGGCCACGTTATAAATCTTTTAAGCAAAGGGATTAAAACTGGCTTTGTAACTTACTTTCTTTGCTTGATTCCATTCTTGCTGTCACAACTCATGCCTGCAGGAGCCAAAAATACAGTAGAAGGCTGTGTGCTTCAGCTCCCAAGGTGGAGACTGTAGAAATTACAGAGACTTTATGGTTGGGGTCAGTGCATGACTCTCTTCTATTCCCACAGACTCTTACCTCTTTGCTCTGTGCCCCCAGTGACAGTTCTAAACATTCACAACTAACACCACAGATGTGGTTCCCTACCTCAACAGGGCCTCCTCTGGCTAACAGAGGATGGGTTAACTGGCTCTCATATTGACCTAAGGGCTTGTCTACATGGGAAAATTGACGGTAATAGCTGTTGTAGAATAAGCTGTTCCATGATAGCTCCCTGTGTGGACACTTTTCCAGAACAAAAATCACTTTATTCCAGAATAATTACTGCGCTCACAAATCACAGTGCTTAATCTGGAATAAAGTGACTTTTATCCTGAAATAGTGTATCCTCACAAGGGGATACAGGGAGATATTGCCTAATAGCTTATGCTGCAATAGCTATTCTGGTCTTTTTCCCTGTAGACAAGATGTGAGCATCACAATGCTAGTCTAGGGTGAAAAGCATAAAGCAGGTTGTGGGAAGCTCAGGCTCCTCGGGGCTCTAACAAGCCTGTGGAGAAGCAACCAGAGAAAAATATCAATGCTAGTAGTTCCCAGAATGTTACACTGCTTCTGGCTTCCTCTCTAAAGCTGATGCTCAAACCCAGATTGTGAGGTCTCTGAGGCAAGGACTGCATTTATGCAATTTCCTTATAATGCCAACTATGAAGGGGTCCTCAGGTGCTACCAAAATACAAATCATAATAATGGTCTAAAATGTGATTTTTTTTTTTCTTGCAGCTTCATGGTGAGTTAGAAAAGGGTGAGAAGGACAGCGCTGAGCTGCAGGAGTTTGCCAATGCCATCCTACAGCAGATAGCAGATCACTGTCCTGACATTCTGGAGCAAGTCGTCAACGCACTTGAGGAGTCGTCATGATCTCAGCTGCTAGCCTGAATAGAACAGAACACCTAGTGACCAAGCCCAGTCAGTCCAAGAAGTCATGAAAATGGAGAGAATTGTGAAAGAAGGACAAGGGAACAGGAAATTTTGGTGCACCTTTTACAAAGAAAGAAAGGAAAACTTTATAAATTACATGCTATCTTGGTTCTTCCAGTCTATGGTGACTGAATCGTGTCTGCATTCATCCTCTCACTGCCTTTCTACTTTGGTATCTGCCTCCCAGCTAACTTTCTCTTGTTGAGGCTTTTGGATACATCTGAGCAGAGACTTGCTGAATCCAGTGAGCGCAGAAGAGGGCTTTTGGACATGAGTGGCTATGATTTTTCCTTGAGGTAGTGAATGGGGGAGCACTTGTCTTTTGTTGCTGTTTTTTTCCCCATACAAACTGAAAGCCTGAATTTCTTAATACTAAAACTGAGAACAGTGATAAAGGCCAAGAGCTGATCACATCAGCTATCTCAGGATTTGCTGTCTGTCTCTAAATTAGTGATTTCTTATGAAAAGGGGAAAGTCTCCTTATGTGGTCCCACTGGTCACTTCCATGCAGTAACTGTGGGACAAGATAGGCATATGGGTGATTTCTGATTGGTGATTTCTGTTTATTTAGCCTCACTTTTGTTGTTCATTGGCTCTGAAGTACTGAGAATGGCTTTTTTTCAGAAGAATGTTTTCTTTAGTTGGCTTTCTTGGTCTGTCCTAGTTATTTTGCATCATAGTGTATCTCATCTGTATCTTGTAAATTCTTGTTTACAGAGAGCTTCCTTCCTTCAAACAGGCTCTGGGCAGCAGGGCAGCTCCTGGACTTGATTTTTCTCGCTTACTATTGATAATTTTTCAGGCAGTGGCTTCTGTGAATTCTAATTGCCAGGAGAGGAGTCCTACACATTGTCTACTTGAGAAAGTTGCAACAGTTGACTAAAAGTGTGATTTTTTTAAAAACCAATTTAGGTAAACTGGTAGAAGAGGCTATCTGATCACACTTACTTCAATTTAAATCAGGTTATTTTGGTTTATCTTAAGAATCGATTGAAGCTAAACTAAAATAAGCCCTTCTTAAATCAAAATAAGAGTATCTGCACCAGTGGTTCTCAAACTTCTGTACTGGTGACCCCTTTCACATAGCAAGCCTTTGAATGCGACCCCCCCCTTATAAATTAAAAACAATTTTTAATATATTTAACACCGTTATAAATGCTGGAGGCAAAGCAGGGTTTCGAGTGGAGGCTGACAGCTCATGACCCCCCATGTAATAACCTCGCAACCCCCTGAGGGGTCCCGACCCCCAGTTTGAGAACCCCGATCTACACTATGCTTTCCAGTGGTTTAAGTAATTTGGTTTAAAATCATACCATCAGTTAAACCAGTACAACTTTTGAATGTAGATGAGGCCTTAGTCATAGGCCCATCCACCCCTTACCCTTACTAAATCCCCTGCTGATAAGTGATGTGATCTCACATAGCTGATCTGTTTGTCCTTCTATTAGCAAATCAGAATCTGCATCATGGCTAGGATTCTGAATGTTCTTTCATGCACTTTGCACTAACGTTGAAGACATGGTTTTGTTGCAAGTTTTCAGTGAGCCTCTGTGAATATTCAAAGGACAGAACTTTTTGGCATCACCCTACATGCCCCTTAAAAGAATTATCCCCTTTTGAATTTTTGGTGCTCTCGTATTCCAGGTTAAGAAAACAGAGTTTTGTTACATTAAAAAAGAGGGTGGGAAGATTTGGAAGCCAGTATCATAGTGGAGAGATTGCTGGCTCTTCAGTTGCTTTCCCAGCAGGTCTGCATCAGTAGTCAATGTCTTTACTCCTGGTGTGTCGGCTCTAGCTCTGACTGATCTTTCAAAGTCTAGAAATATCTGATATTAAATGTCCGTAATCCAAGCCTTTAGGGCAGTCTCCCAATAGACCCCTTTCACCATTTGGAGCCTGCAATGTAATTTCCTCTCCCCCTCATTAAATTCTGAATCCACATCACAGAGCCCTTTCACTACCCAAAATGCTGTAGTCCCAGTCAGTTAACCCCATTTCCTTGTCTTTCAAGTCTGCAGATCAGTTTCCTTCACCCCTTTTTCCATTTTTGGGTTGACTGACCCCTCTGGATATGAAGATGATTTGCAAAGACTTGAGAGTCAACACTCATCCTGCGCTTATCTGAAAATAGCACTGAAAGTCAAGGCAAGAAAAGGCTTTTCACTGGCATTCCCATAAAATATAATGAATAGTTTTAAAGTAAACCATGTCTAAGCTCATTCTACCTTTCTCATTATGAAAGGACATAGTGGGTTATCCATTGCCAACAGCAAACCACTTAAAGGAATTCAAGCTTCTCCTCTTATTGGTATAAAAGGGAACGTCTTAGGGGGAACTGGATCAGTAATAGTGTCCCTTCCTGAGTTTCCTATGATGTTCACATTTATTTGTTTTGAGCCTTTGTTGCTTTGCAAATCAAGAAATACAGCTTTAGTTCTCACTGCCGTAATAGGCAGTGTCTGACGCTTTTTTGTCATTGAGTGGGAAAGGAGTGGGAACCTGACTGGTTGCAAGGGTGAAACAGCATGTACCGGAAGACATATAGACAGTGACTGTACATACCACTGAGCCATGCCTCATACCAGAGCCGCTCCCTTGGCCTTATTATTTGAGTCAGCACGTTTTGATAGAAACTGTTTTGAAATCTTTCCTCTTGCTTTCTCTTCATCACCCATAATTACTCACTTTAGGAATTTAATGCTGCCTATAAAACCATCACAGCCATCGTTGTAGCATCTTCCCACCACCACTGCTTCCTGACTGTCCCATTAGCTTATATGGTCAAATCTCCAGCTGTCCTTGTTCCCTGCTGTAAAATAATCCTCTTTCTGTGAGAAGCTGTGGAATTTTCCTTATCGATGGTTCAAATGACTCCTACTCGTAAACCTTTTACTGAGATGCTCCTTGATAGTGTTTCTGTGGAGGGGAGGGGAGTGAATAGTGGTCATTTGTGGCTATTACTTCAGTTCCCTTTGTTTATTGCACTGCCCATAAATCACAAGAAACCCCTGATTTTCCATGCTGGGACTTCTAGGGTCTTTAACACAGCTGCCACCATGTGGCTGCACTTCTGTACAACTGGAACTGCCTCAACAAAAGCATGTCAATCTCATGACAGTGGGTGCAAGGTTTGTGCAGTGAAAGCCACGTAAATCCTACTGTTTGCACTCTACACTGCTTCCAGCATGTTCTTTGGACGGATTTGTCAAGCAGGGATAATTCTCACACTGGCCATTGGGTTTTTATCTTCAAGTAACACATCTGCTGTTTTTCTCCATCTGAAATATTGTGCCTTGCTGCATTTCCTTCCATTACCTACTGTAGTCTTGTTGGGCTCCTAGCCCTGCCACTGTGAACCTTGATCTAAGCCCTCAGTAAAGTGAGTGAGCCAGATCTTATCTGGGAACAGACTTGATCTGACTTGATCTCTAGTGAACTGTTACAGATAATCTCCTTTATCCTGCTTAGATAGAGATCATATCATGCTGAATAGCCCTTGGAGCTGTTTGATTCAGGGAGAGATGGCTGGCCATTAATTAATACTGAACATGACCCATCTCAACATTTTTTCTTTATGGAGTGCCATGTCATTAGCCTTAGGGTAACTCATGGATTTAGGTGACGTAGGATCCATCATGAGATGGCATATCATTCATGCACATGGTGGCGGGAGGGGAAGGGTGTCCGGGGGGGGGGGGTATCCCCACATGCATGTGTGCAGTCACCCTGTTGCCCAATCTATCACAGCTCTTTTAAACTTGTATTTCCCCATCTCAATTGCCAGGGAGACCTAGCCAGTATCCAGGAAATACAGCTCTACAATGCAGTATAGTATTCCTGGCAAATCCATTTGCCCTTTCTGTTTTCCTGCCCCAGAGTCCAGTTTCCAAGGAAAACCTTACAAAAAGAGTCTGTGGAATCTTGCTTATTCTTGTCACATTCATGGAGTTCCGCTTGCTATAAAATTATGATGGGGTTTTATTGGTTTAATAATTTTTTCTTTCAAGCTATTAAAGTGCTTATTTGCAGAGAAGCTGAGAGGTTTAAGAACTGGAGAAACTCTCCATAATAGATTAAACAGGATATGTTATCAGGGTTTGAGTGTAGATACAAGTGGAGCTCCTCAAGCCCCACTTAGTCACGATCCCCAAGAATCCAAGATCATTTCCTTTGCACCAAATGTGGTTTAAAAACACTAATGAAACGGACACTGCAACACTAGAACGGCAAAAATAGTGACACTATTCGTGATTGGAGGAAGAATTGATGAGCTGCATGCCAGGTGAAACTCTAGACTTGTGGTATTGTCTCTTATGTGGACTACCTTTGGCCAGATCTCCCCCTAAGAAATGCCAAACCCTCTTTGCAAAATCCAAACTTCAGGTAATCTCAGGGGGTGGGGATGAAGGTTGTGAGATACAAGAATCTTTATGTGCCGTTTTCAGGTGTACTTCTGGACTAATACCTCCTCTAGCAATTTTGTGATACTTTGTGTCTCCTGTTATTTTGTACCAGGGAAGAATGGAGACCTCTTTTCAGAGGAGTGCTAATGTCAGAGACCCATCTCTGGCCTCACACACCCTCTTTTCTAAACCCAGTGGTATCTGTTTTTCCTCACCCTTATAGCTCCCACCCATAGCTGCTGCTAATGTTTGTGTTAGGAAATTCTCACATCTGATAAAGGGTAAAATGGAGCAGCCCCCACGCATCCCATTGTCACTCACTGCCATGAAGGTTTCCTTACAAAGGGTGGTGGGATAAAGAAACCTCTATTGATTCCAATATAAAGCAAAAGTTCTACTACATCACCAGTGTACATACTCCACAAGGACTTCAATGAACTAAAAAGGAAAGTAGTACAATCGTCTGGGATTAAAAGAAGCCCCCACTCAACTGAGCATCTGCACTGACCCAGACAGCGGAAACAGAAGGCTCTGGATAAATAACACTGCCCCAGTGAAGCTAGTGGAGTGGGAGGGTCAGGCAAAGAGCATTTTTGGACTGTGCTGAACTGACAAGATAAACTCTTCTCTGCCAATCTCATGGTCATGGCAGAGAATGTGTGTCAGGTTTTTTAAACAAAATAATGTTTTTAATGGGGTTTTTTTCCATGTAAGAAGAGGGAACCCTATGCTACAACAGATCCTTCTGAACTAAATGGCTGTGTCTGCAATTTTTTAAAAAAAGAAAACGGTTTCAAAACTTTTTAGTGTCAAATGCATAAACACAAGAATGCTGACTTTTTCCAGTGTGTGTGGCGAGTGCTGTAACCTTATCATCGGCATTTCCCCTGACTTTTTCAGGGTATTTTTTCCTGTTTTGTTTTCTGCTTGTCAATATTGTCTGTGTGGTCCTATGGTTTGGACAGTTACCAACAGTGCGTGTCTGTTGTCAGATTAAAAAAAAAAAGTGATAGAAGTAGAACTGAAAAAGATGTGTTTTTAAAAATATAATAATAAATGTAAATAAAAGGAATTCAAGTTATGACACAGCAAAGCTCTGACTCCTCCTCCTGGGTTTGTAAGGAAAACGATTTGTGTGGGCTCATGATTATAATCAATTGCCTTTAACAGGCTAGTGACATCAAAACTAGTTTGGTCTCTTAGGAAATCACCCCATACTGTATGTTCCCTCTCCCCCAGTTTTACACTGTACATACTAACCACAGAGTATAGAAATGGGAGGGGAAAATAGTGTTTTAGAAACTAGTCTTTACTAGTAAAGTTATCACCCATTGATACAAATGGATTGGATGCTTTGGGGCAAATTTTCAGACATTGGCACTTGAACTGTACCTATAAATTATGTGGGCATGTGCAAATGCATATTGGCTTCTACAGTTACCAGTTCACATAATGCAATGCTTATATTGCAGGTGCCTGTTTTTAAAACTGTATCCAGCATCTTTTGTGCAGCGTTAAAGGGCTTCCAGCCTTTTTCTGCTCCAGTTGTTTCAAAGATTGGACTATATAAAAAGACTCTGTCAACTTCAAACTGCATATTGGTAAACAGACACATTTCTGTATTCGTGTTGTTAGTGACACCTTAAGTTATTTTAAATGAATGTATTTTTTACAATTCTATTTTTCACTATGCTGTTTGTTTACTTTTTGCACTTTTTCTAGTTTGGACATTGAAAACTAAGGCAATCAGTTTCACTTTCATGTCCTGCAGTGTTTGGGTTTATTTGTTCAAAACCAACTGTTTCCATTAAAAATAAAAATCAGGGAACCATTTCTGTTAATAGGCTCTAGTCTTAGACTTTGTAAAAGCTTAACTCTATAAATCTAAATTTCAAGCCAAACACTGACCCTTTACTCTACTTTTGTCCATTCACCCAGCTCTCAATGGTTCCGATCAGGTCTCAATTTTAGTGAAGTGTATGTAATAACACTTTTGCTTTTATCTAGTAACCTCAGTATTTGGGAAGAGCATTAATTTCCGTTTGGCCTGTACCTGTGCCAGACTTGCAGAACTTAAGTTTTGAGTTCAGTAATTGTCTCTCTTAATATTTACTGATGTATTTGTTACAGTAATTCCTGGGGCTGCTATACTGATAAAGTGCTTATGGATTTCTGAAGGAGAATAACTCAGATGGGACCACAGCCAGGGGAACCATTTCTGTGCTGATCTAACATGCTGCTCCAAGGCCACTAAAACAGTATTAGTGTTTCTCTCTGATTGATTAAATGATGGATAGCACACCAGATTCTGCTTTACCAAATTGTTCCTGGGAGTAGCCCAGTGGATTGTCATAAGGAATAAAATTTGTGGGACACCCACTCTATAGCCAGGGATCCCTTATTTGCTTTGGAAGAGACATGTTGCACTTTAGTGGAGGAGGAGGTTGGCTTTGGATATAGAGTCTGGCATACTTGAGTTCCTTTTGGAAAAGCAGCAGCAGGAGACATTGATGTCTGTGATGCAAGTGTGCACGCTGCCTTCAACTTGTATGTGTTTTATTGCTGGAGTCATGTTGCTGACAGGATAATGAAATTGCAAAGAAAATTGTGTTATATTCAACTTTGCCTTGATAATATAAACACTTTTTGTTCATTTTTTCTTTTTTTTATTCACAAACTAAATTCATCGAGAAATTATAAAATTATTTAAAAACTCTGTGCTGTCCCTTTCTTTCAGTCCCATTGTGTCTTGTGTAATGTTTTCTCCCCCAGATTTTGGATTAGGGAGGGGTCTTGTTTCCTACTGGGGATGCAGAATGTATCCAGAATGAGCTATTCTCTTTCTGTTGCTTCCATCCTTCCAAAGTAAGTTGACTTAAAGTATTGCTCCAGAGAGGGCCTGAATCCCAAGCGAACACCTTGCATTGAGACAATTTCAGAGCCATCTCCTGTGTGGTCACATGTCTGGAAGCACATCTTGTTCAAAACTAAAAAGTCATCATCCTATAGAATAAAATGCCCACAAGCACATCCCCTGTGCAAACTAAATTAAAGCTCTATCCCCAAGGCATCAGATACCCAACAACATGAGAATGGTGCTAGGTCCCACAAAGTGATCTATGCCAGGCCTCACAGAATGGAAAAAGTGGGTTCTACCGAGTGTCCTATTTCCAGCAGCATGTTATGGGCACAAGCAATTTCTGCCTGTGACTGTTTCATCACTGCCTTCAGAAATCCTCATTTTTCTGGAGTTTATAACCTTTCTAAAGAGAATTACCCATAGCTGCAACTGTGGGTCCCAAGTCCCCATGGGGATGAAATATCCCTTTTAAATGCCTCCCACCAGATCATTCCTACCTATGCTCTCACTTTGAGGAGGATGTTCCTCACCAAAGTGACAGAACACTGCTTCTAATGAATTTTTCTTTGGAAGAATGTTGCTTTCTGCTTTTATCCATCTACACTGCAGATTTTTCCACGAGTTTTTTTCTGGTTCTGTGCCTGCTTCTTTCTGTTGATTTGTCATCTCTTCAAGAGGCCCATAAGATCCTGAATTATTGTTTCTATGATGGTGACTTTCTCTGTGGGCCTGGTAGTTCCACTTCCTTTACCAATTGGATTTCAGTCACTTGGTTGTCAAACACAACACAGACAGTGTGGAAAAAGAATACCTAGAGATTAGGGGTTTCAAGTACTCTCTGTAATGAACAGTCCAGCAGCCTTTTGATTCTAAGGCCCTGTGTACACTACCGGGGTAAGTCGACCTAAGTTACATCAACTCCAGCTATATTATTCACGTAGCTGAAGTATTGACAGGTTTCAGAGGAACAGCCGTGTTAGTCTGTATTCGCAAAAAGAAAAGGAGTACTTGTGGCACCTTAGAGACTAACCAATTTATTTGAGCATGAGCTTTCGTGAGCTACAGCTCACTTCATCAGATGCATACCGTGGAAACTGCAGCAGACTTTATATACACACAGAGAATATGAAACAATACCTCCTCCCACCCCACTGTCCTGCTGGTAATAGCTTATCTAAAGTGATCAACAGGTGGATCACCTGTTGAGAAAACCTGGATTTGTGCTGGAAATGGCCCACCTGTTGATCACTTTAGATAAGCTATTACCAGCAGGACAGTGGGGTGGGAGGAGGTATTGTTTCATATTCTCTGTGTGTATATAAAGTCTGCTGCAGTTTCCACGGTATGCATCTGATGAAGTGAGCTGTAGCTCACGAAAGCTCATGCTCAAATAAATTGGTTAGTCTCTAAGGTGCCACAAGTACTCCTTTTCTTGTAGCTGAAGTAGTGTAACTTAGGTCAACTTACTGCAGTGTCTACACCGTGCTGCGTCAACGGGAGACACTCTCCCGTCAACTTACCTTATTTCTCTCATTCCGGTGGAGTACCTCGACCGGAGTGTGCTCTGCGGTCAATTTAGTGGGTCTTCACTTCTAGACCCGCTAAATTGACCCCCGCTGAATCAATCACAGCAGCTTTGATCCCCAGTCAGTGTAAACATGGTCACATGACCTAAATCTGTTTTATGCTCACTTTAGTGTCTTGGGTTGAAAAGAGATCAGCTGAATGAAATCACATGCATTAAATTTAACCAATCTCTGTAAAACGAGATATCTGTAAGCTTGAAAATAATGCAAGTGCTATTTCTGAATATGTCTTTTCAAACACTAGGACAATTGAAAGTCACTGTGAGAGTACATCTTCAAGCAGACAGGAGCCATTAATTGCCAGAGTACAATTGAGCTAATGCACACACTCTCTAGTTGGTATGTTGAACTCCTGTATCCCTGCAGTCTGCCTTATGTTTTGGATGGCCCATAATAACAACATTGTTCATGCTCGTTATTGGGTTACATTTTATGTGTTGTGCAGTAAAACAGTACAAGGCATCCTGAATAAGATTTTGTGTTTACTGCTGTTATTGTGATTAAAAAAAACAAGCAAGACTTAAGTGAAAAGGCGAGATACTTTAGAATGCTCAACCCAGTGATCAAAGAAGCTTAAACTTTTTCTTACTCCTTCTTACAATATATTTCAAACGCAGGTTACAGTAGAGGCCCCTTTCCACATATACTAGCCATCCATATTCCCCTGAGACCTACACTTCTTATCTCTATGCAACACACACTTCTACTGACTCTCACTTGTGCTCTGCTACATACAATGGAAACCTCGCACCTGCAGCTTCTGATACAAGCGCATTGTCCTGTCATACAGGGGAAACGTCTCTGTAATGTAAGTAATGCAAATAACAGAAAGGCGGATTGACATAGTCCCCCATCCTATACAAAGTGCCAAAAGTTGGAGTATTTTAGAGCCCTATATAAAAGTGTGTGTATAAAGACTCAGTGTTAGCCAGAATCATGTTTAAATATGGTTCTTCCCTGCAAGATGTTACTAGTTTTTCCAATACCATTTTCCTAGTCAATGTAATCCAGGTCTCTCCAGTTTAAAATCATGTACTCTAGAATAGAACATGGTTTGTAAAATGGTAGATCTGGGAATCACAGAAACAGTGTTGAACCCATGTTAGCGTCTTACTGGGAAAAGAGACATATTTAATAAAAATAGTTTAGATTACCAATTTCCCTTTATACTAGATAAGCCCAAAGGACTTCTTCCAGTATACCAAACACCTATTGTAACTGATGGGGTGTGAAGCTCTAGGGTGCAGCAGCTGATATTGGGGTTTACTTAAGATATGGATGGTGGTAAATAAATGATCAGTAGCTAGTGTTTAACCATCAGAAATATTAAAACTGCTTTCAATTAGTCATTAACTAGACCAACTTTTAAGGATCAGAACTTACAACCACTTTGAATAAAACTATCATTTATTTTAATAGGAATTCTGCAAGTGTAGTGTCTACAGAACCAGCCCCTGAGAAAGTATAAGTAAGACATTTGATTTCTTTAGAAAAGGGGCAAGTTGCTGCTCTGACCCAAAAAACCTCTCCAGAAAAGATCTTCCAATTTGAACAAATCTTTCATTTTCTGTAACTGTGTGTTATTCTGGGGAGGCACAAGTTTGGGGATTTACAGGAACCCATTTAAATGCTATTATACAACACAGAGACTGTTTTTAACTTTATGAGTAAGCTATTTTCTTGTAGTGCTATGTATTGAAAATATATATTTTTTTTTCAGTATATTATATCCGTCCAAACAGGCACTGTGCTCAACCCCTACTCTGCCCAGGGCACCGCCCCCCACCTCCACCCCTACCCCACCTTTTCCCTTCCTGCCCAGTTCCACCCCCTTCCTGCTCTTCCTCCCCCCGGTGCCTCCTGCAAGCCATGGAACAGCTGTTCGCAGCAAGCGGGAGGCGCTGGGAGCAAGGGGGAGGAGTTGATCAGCAGGGCCGCCAGCAGGCGGGAGGCACTGGGGGGTGGGAACAGGCTGCCGGTGTAATTTTTTTCTGCGGGTTCTCCAGCCCTGAAGCATCCACGGAGTTGGCGCCTGTGTATACACACACACTTATGTATCGTGATATTTTTATATAATACATAATGGCATTTTAAAAGCTACATTAAAATAATGTTAAGATTGCAGAATCAAACACTCAAAAGTTAGGAAATGCCAGAATTTAGGTTATTTGTACACCTTTAATTTGCCCCCTACCACCCCCCAGTGCACATATGTATGATACAGTCTTTAATTACATTCTAACTTTTTTTTCTTCCCCACAGGACCCCTGTCTCATTCAGGGCACAAGACGTATATGTTTTGTTCTCCCAAAAGTTAGTCACTGCACCCACAAACATTAATTTCTTCAAATAAGGAATTATACATAGATGCTGATTCTACTGTGAGATACACTTTTCCCTAGACTGCTAATATTCCATTCCAGGGCCTATAATCAATTGTCTCAATCCAGCATTAACATCCAAGATCTACACACAGAGCCTGATTCAAACCCCACTGAAATCAATAGGAATATTTCAGCTGACTTCAGTGGGCTTTGGATGAGGCCCTAAGTGGCTGGTGCTGCAAATGTTTCCTCACATGACTAATCACATTGAAATCATGGGACTGCTCCTGGAAGGAGGGACTAAAAGCACAGGTATGTGTTCGCAGGATCAGCTCCTCTGTTCTCCCACGTATAGAGCCCTGCACAGATATAAGGCCCCCAACCCTGTCCACTGGGCAGGCACCAGGCTCACCGGACGCTCCTTTCGCCACTGAGGTACCCAGTGGAGCCCTGCACCTCCGCAGATACCGATTTATATCCACAGATATCTGCATCCATGGATATAAAGTTGTATCGCAGAGCTCTACCCATGTACTGCCTTCAAGTAGAGTTCAGCCTCAATGAAATCCCTGACCTGGGTTCATATCTGAAATACCCAGCCCACAGCTGTTTCTAAATTGAGACAGATCTGACTACCTAGGAAGGCTCAGACTTCAAGCTGCAAGCCTGCCCTGGAGCTGGGGTTTTGGTCTAGCCCTTTATAAAAAGTTCATTCAGATCCAGAACGAAGTTTGGTTCAAACGCTTCTATCCTTTCAGTCATTCTTCCTTTAATCTGTCTATAAAACTCCTTTGGTTCCAGGGGCTGTGCTGTAGGACTCCAATGCAATCATTTTGCAGACACTGTAATTTAATGCCTTTCACATACCTAATTCTGAGCCCAGCCAAGCCTGCAGTTTATTTTTTGTTTAACATGCTTAGCTACTGCCCTTGACAGAGGTATCTGGCCCTTCTATACAAAACACTTGAGCAGGATGGCTAAAGCAATAAAACATCTATGATTGAATAGTGCCCTGGAGTATACCTCTCCTTCCACCTCCACTCCTGTGCTGAACACAGGCCTCCCTCAAGATTACAGTGGCCAGTGCTGAGCCCCATACATACTGACACTGCCCAGTGCACTGAGTACTTTGAACTTTAATTACACCCAGTTACACCTAGTGGCTTTGATAATTGAAATCTTCAGGTAGTTAATAAGAATCCTGGCTCCTTAAGTGGTTAAACATTAACCTTGATGGGGCAGCAAACACAGGGTCCAACATAGATTGTCTGAGATCTGTCACGAAGTCACTTTAAAAAAAAAACCAAAACCAGGAAGCGCCAATCTGGTACTAATACACTGGTGCATCTCCTCTATTTCTCCTTATTGACTAGAAAATTAGCTCTCTTTTTCAGCCAGAACCTTTTCAGAGAGCATATTAATCCTCCCATGCATACATACTGTGGATATGTATGCTGGCATCCAAAGTGCTACACAAGGATATGTAAGGATGTAGAGGAATTGTGATACATATGATTAAGGACTGTATGCAACAGCGGTAGAAGTTATTCATGCAGGTTTAACTTGGGCATATCATGAGTCTGAAATGATACCATGCAATTTGATTCACATAGTTTTTGTATGGTCTAGTATTTTCATAGTGTTGGTTATTTTTATTCAATCATTAAAATATAAGGAAACAAACTACAAAATTATTTTGGATATCTTGAACCATTGCCACTTTTGAAATTAGGGATACTTTATGCTGATACCCTTATTGCTGTAGATTAGTGTATTTTGGCTTTAGTTTTATTTACTCTATCCTAGCTGTGGAGATAACCATGTACAACTATTTACTCAGGAAGTCAGGGTGCAGCTGCAGCCAGAGGGAGCTTGAGAAGCTTGGAAACTCTACAGGGCTATGGCGTACCACAGCCAAAGAAAGGTGCGGTACTCAGCTCAGGAGAGTCAGGCCCTTTATGCATCTCTTGCAGTGGATGGGGATCAAACATGCACATAAAAAAACTGGCAAGTTACCTGATCCAAACAGATTCCCACCTAAGTATTATAAGCTATTGCCTAACAGGGCATCAAACCTCATTTTAGATACCTTCAGGTGACACCAAATAGAGACAATTTTATTGGGTCTGGAAAAAAATCTTGCTCTATCTGTTATCCTTTAAAAATGTAGCTTTGTGTTTGATTGTCATGGATAAAGGCCAGTGTTGTCTTTAATCAATACTGATTGTAAAATTCTGGCCAAATATTGGGCTCTAGGATTGGATTTCACTTTATCCTACTGATTTGTGGCAGATTTGTTTGATTAAAGCTTAATACTCAGTGGATGGTGTGGGTGGATTACTGGTTATCCTTTTGAAGAACAAAAATCTGATATCCCGGTTGCTGCTTTTTCACTCGATGTGATGCGGAAAAAGGGTTCAACAATATTGGATGGCCTTTTCTGTTCCATGATCTGCCTGCTTTGGGCTTTCAGGAGGAATTTATTTCTTGGGTGAATCTCTTAAACATCAATCTATTTGAATCGTTCTTAACCAACAGTATGTGTTCATGCCCCTTTCAGTTTTAGAAAAGGTACTTGGACATGATGGCCTCTCTTCTCATTTCTTAGCTGTAGCACTTTTAGCAATTATGATACAAAATTAAGTGAACAGCAAAAGTGTTAATAGGATTGTGCAGAATCTTTGGCTTTGTGCACATGATGTTTTTGCTTACCTTGTCTAACCTGAGTGTCTAGTCCCTATCTTTTAAAGATGCTCTGGCTTCTGGGGATTTAATTTAGGATAAACTGGAAGTCATGCTGTTATCTGGATTCTATACACAAAATTTGATTCCCACAATGGAGAATTGTATGGCAAATGGGATAAATAATACCTGCTGATCTATAACATATTGTTGTGGAGAACTTCTTTCCACTGATCAACAAGATTCAAAGGCTATCAGTAAATGGAAACTACGCTAACTTTCTCTGTGGAGATGAATTTATCCCCTTAAAAAGAATTCTCTGTTCACAGTCATCTGCTGTAATTACTACTACTTCATTACTATGGCCAAGATTTTCAAAACTAAGAGTCTAATGTTAGACTCCTGGTCTACAGTACGTGGTTATTTCGGAATTAGCCGAGTTAATTCAAAATAAAACTGATTCCGTCCACATGACCAAACCGTTTTTTTTTCAATTTAAAGGGCTCTTTAATCTGATTTCTGTACTCCACCTCGGCAAGTGGAGTAACGCTAAAATTGAGATTGCAGTTCCAGATTACAGGTATGTGGACGCAATTCGACATTATTGGCCTCCGGGAACTATCCCAGAATGCTCCCTTGTGACCGCTGTGGACAACGCTCTCAACTCCGATGCACTAGCCAGGTAGGCAGTAAAAGCCCTAGGAACTTTTTAATTTAATTTCCTGTTTGGTCACCATCAGCACAGTCCACCATCACAGGCGACCATGCAGAGTCCACCATCACAAGAGACCACGCAGTCCCGGATTTGCAGACGAGCTCCAGCATGATCCAAACGGAAGGTACTGGATCTCACTGCATGTTGGGGAGATGAATCTGTTATGGCAGCACAACATTCCAAAAAAAGAAATGCAAATATGTACGCTAAAGTCTTCAGGGCCAGGACGGAAAGAGGCTACTCCAGGGACACAAAGCAGTGTCGTACAAAAATCAAGCTCAGGCAAGCGTACCAAAAAGCCAGGGAGGCGAACGGGTGCTCTGGGTCACAGTTCTATACATGCCACTTCTACCGTGAGCTGCATCCAATAATGGGGAGTGATGCCACCACTACCCCACCACTGTCTGTTGACACCTGGCAAGGGGAGAGTTGCACGGAGCGAGGAGGATGAGTTATTGGAGGACGAAGAGGAGGAGGAGAACAGTGCACGGGCGGCAAGTAGGGAATCCATTTTCCCCCCTAGCCAGGAACTAGTCTTATCGTTGGAGCCAACAGCCTCCCCCCACTCCCAAGGCGGACTCCCAGACCATGACCCTGGAGAAGGCACTTCTGGTGAGTGAGAGAGAGCCTGATCGGAGCCACGCAGTGGGGGGTGGGGTGAAACCCAGCTGCGCTGAGCTGTTCGTGTTTAGTTTAAAGCTAAACTCATCCCTGCTCAGAGCCTCCTTGGAGCCATGTGATGGGTGCGGGCTGGGAGGGGGTGGGGGTGTTGTATGAAGCGATCATCCCAGAGGGCCTGCAGGCTCTCCTTTTATATGGCAAACCCACCAGGAATTGCCTGCTATGGGAAAGGGGGCCCGGACGTTTGAAAGCATTGAAATGAATGCGGAAGAAGCAGAACCCCGCGTGCCCCTAGGGCTTACCATGGCTGCCTGCAACTTGAATTCTGTTGCCCGGACGCGTGTCATGGCTTACTCACACCAAAGTGGCAGGCACTTCAGTTTAAGAGGCAAAATGCGACCTTGTACAGAAAGAACATGTGCTGTGTACTATGAATTGCCTGTTTCACTGAAAAAGAGTGTCCCCTTTGTTCTCTAAAATGTATCTTTTAAAATACTACCCTCCATTTTTCTCCTCCCGCAGGTGCAATGTTTCAACGCGGCCCCTGTCTACCCCGTCCCAGAGGCTGGTCCAGATTAGAAGGTGGAAAAAATGAACTTGGGACGACATGTTCGCCGAGCTCATGCAGTCCTCCCACACTGATAGGGCCTAGCTGAATGTGTGGAGGCAAACAACTGCAGAGTCCCGTAAAGCGTTAAATGAACAAGAAGAGAGAAGGGACGCGCGTGATGAGAGCAGGTAGGATGCTATGGTCACGCTCATGGGGGAGCAAACTGACATGCTCCACTGTATGGTGGATCTAATGCGAGAAAGGCAACAAGACCACAGACTGTTGCTGCAGCCCCTGTATAACCGCTCTCCCTCCTCCCCCAGATGCCCAAGAACACGGGGGCGGAGGGAAGTTGCGGGGACCCACACAGTCAACCCCAGAGAATTGCACAAGCAGCAGAAAGCTGGCACATCCAAAATTTTGATTTGGTTTCTGGACTTGTCCTTCCCTCCTCCTCCTCCACCCCTCTAGCCCAATACCCTCCCCTCCCCAGGTCTACCTTCTGATTTCTCTCAATGTGTTGTGCAACAAATAATAAAGAACAGTTTTTAAACAATTGTGACTTTATTTCCTTTCATATATATAGGGGCGGGTAACTTCAAGAGAAACGAACACAACTGTCACACCATACCCTGGCCAATCATGAAACTGGCTTTCAAAGCTTCTCTGATGCGCAGCTCGCCCTGCTGCACTCTTCTAATCACCCTGTTGTTTGGCTGTGCAAAATTGGCTGCCAGGCAAGTTGCCTCAACCTTCCACCCTGCCATAAACATCTCCCCCTTACTCTCACAGATATTGTGGAGCACACATCAAGCAGCAATTACAATTGGAATACTGGTTGTGCTGAGATCTAACCAAGTCAATAAACTGCGTCAGCGAGCTTTCAAATGTCCAAAAGCACATTCTACCACCATTCTGCACTTGCTCAGCCTATAGTTGAACTGCTCCTTACTGCTGTCCAAGGTGCCTGTGTACGGCTTCATGAGCCATGGCATTAAGGGGTAGGCTGGGTCCCTGAGGATAACTATAGGCATTTCAACATCCCCAATAGTAATTTTCTGATCTGGGAAGTAAGTCCCTTCCTGCAGCTGTTCAAATAGACCAGAGTTCCTGAAGACCTTTCCTGGTCATCCCACGCTGATGTCAGTGAACCGTCCCTTGTGATCCACTAGTGCTTGCAGCACCATGGAAAAGTACCCTTGTGGTTTACGTACTGGCCGCCCTTGTATTCCGGGGCCAAGATAAGGATATGAGTTCCCTCTATCGCCACGCCGCAGTTAGGTAACCCCAACGCATTAAAGCCATCCACAATGGTCTGCACATTTCCCAAAGTCACTACCCTTGATAGCAGCTGGTCAATGATTGCGTTGGCTACTTGCAGCACAGCAGCCCCCACAGTAGATTTGCCCACTCCAAACTGATTCCCAAATGACCGGTAGCTGTCGGGCGTTGCAAGCTTCCACAAGGCTATGGCCACTCGCTTCTCAACTGTGAGGGCTGCTCTCATTTTGGTGTCTTTGCACTTCAGGGCAGGGGACAGCAAGTCACAAAGTTCCATGGAAGTGGCCCTACACATACCACAGTTTTGCAGCCACTGGGAATCATCCCATACCTGCAACACCATGCAGTCCCACCAATCTGTGCTTGTTTCCCGGGCCCAGAATCGGCGTTCCACAGCATGAACCTGGCCCAACACCACCATGATCTCCCAATCGCCACATGCCGTGCTTCTAGGAACATCTGTGTCCATGTCCTCATCAGTATAGCGATCGCACTGTTGTCGCTTCTTCACCCGGTTTTGCAGGCATTGCACATACTGCTGCACAATGCACGAGGTATTTACAATAGTTAAAACTTCAGCAGAGATCTGAGCGAGCTCCATGCTTGCCGCGCTATGGCGCCTGCATGGGTAATCCTGGAAAAAGGGTGCGAAACATAGGAGAGCAGAGAGGCAGCAGAAGAGGTGCTGTTCGGTTCACAATAGCCGAAAAAAAGCATGAAATGGTTGTCTTCTGTAACTTTCACGGAGGCGGGAGCCCAGGACAGACAACATGGAGAAGCACAGTAGCACGGCAAGAGCAGGAGAGCAGAGTTGGCGGCGGGAGCTGTGCTGCTCGGTTCACGATGGCCAAGCAGAGTTGGCGGCAGAAGCGGTCGATGAGGAAGAGAAAGAGTAGATACTTATAGAGATTACATAGAAAGAGGAGAGGAAATACGAGGTGGATTCATAGCACCAGGAGAGAAGTGGTGCACCATACTGCACCGTCTGCTGAAAGCAGTATGGCATCTGCACGCCAAAAAGGCGTGAAACAATTGTCTGCCGTAGCTTTCACAGAGAGAGAAGCGACTGACGACACACACCCAGAAACACCCGCGAGAATGTTTTTGCCCCATCATGCACTGAGAGCTTAATCCAGAATTTCAATGGGTGGCAGGGACTGTGGGAACTGTCGGATAGCTACCCACAGTGCACCACTCTAACATTTGATGCTAGCCTCAGTACTGTGGATGCACTCCGCTGAATTCACGTGCTTTAGTGGGTACACACAAGACCAAATGTATAAAATCACTTCCAAAAATTCAAATAGAATAATTTCGAAATAATTTTGTACTGTAGACGTACCCTGAAGTACTAAGCACCCAGCAACTCCTATTGCTTACATTATACAAACATGATTTTTTAAATGTTTTTAAAAAACAGCCTCGATTTTTTTCCACCCATAATTATTTGTGGGTGTAAATAAGGACATGTCTGACTATCTGTCTTGTGAGCACAATCACCCACCTACATACTCTAATAATTACACATAAAGGAATGTCCAGGTGTGAAAAGGGCTTCTGGACTACGGAGCCTGCTGGATCCCCACCGGGTTACATGGTATAAGCATTTTGCCAGATAATAGATGTCAGAGGTGTAATGCACATAATGCAACATTAGTCCACACAACCTGGTGGTAATCCCAGCTAGGGATGTTGTCTCAAGGAGGATATTTAATGGACTATATTCACCCTTACCTTTTTGGGGACTTAATTCAGTACAGTCACAAATGGAGAAAGAGATGACTCTTGAGAACACAGGCAATACAAATATTTATGTTCATGAAATGGAGTAGGTTAATATGCTACTTGATATAGGCAAAGCAAAGGTTTCCTCTGTGTTAAGTGACAAAATGAAGGACTACCACCTCTTTTGAAAATTAATCTTAAATCCATATAGCAAATAAGAGGTCATCTGAGGTAACTCTGATCTCATCTTCTCTTTGTCTGTGTTTGCATGCAACGAAGTAGCGACAGGGGTGGGAGAAGAATGATGCTAACTTTCCCCATTTTCTGTTTTGTTGTTACAATCCCTTATTCAGTACTAAAATATTTCATATACTCATGTTACAGCTTTAAGCATGATATCTGGGCATGTTCAAGCATGACATTAATAGATCTTCAATTTTGTCATGGCAGAATGTATTATTATAGTGTTGTTCAGTTAGCCTATAACTGATTGTTTGTGTATGTATTTCAATTAGTAATTCAAAAATGTAATTCAACAAAATATTAATGAATATAAACAAAACTGCAAACCTGACTTTACTGCTATAATTTTGGATACTTAACCACTGCCCACATCCATGACAGTGCTTCCATAGTTAATTATTGTGTTTCTAATAGGAAAAGGCCAAGGGAGACTTAAAGAAAGAAAAGGGACATACCAAGTAAACATAATAAGAAATCAAGAGTGAGATCCTCACCCAATGTAAATGGGTGCAGCTGCAGCTCCACTGTCTTCAGAGAAGCTATGTCCATGTACACCAGCTGAGGTTCTCCTCCTAAAAATATAATGGTGTTTCAACATGCCCTACAGTTTTATTTGCCACTTGTTTGGGAATATTTACTTCATTCACTGAAGTCTGTCATTCATGAGCAATATATTCATCCCAACTTCATGCAATAAAATATATAGCATCCCACAGAATCACGTACACTTTCCCTATGTTTATAGGCATATAACATGGTGACTTTTTTGTAAAAAGTGCTGTATATAGGCCAAATCCTGAAAGGTGCCGAATAGAGTGTTGCCAATTTTTATGATATTTGTCATTCTTCTTCAAGCCCTAGCTCCTGGACCCATGAGATTATGTGAGAATCTCAGTTTTCATTTAATGTCTAGCCCTCTTTGTTTGTGAAACAAGCTTGAAAATATGACCAGAGTGAACTCAAAAGGCTCTGAAATCAGAAACAAATAAAAAACACCCATTTTTAAATCTATTGGTTTTAAGTCACTCATGATTTTTGCCCTCTATAGGTGTGCATGTGTATAATACATAATGCCAAGATTTTTTACATGACTGGTGATTTTGAGTGCTCAACTTTTGAAACCTCTTAAAGGGATCTAAAGGGTGGGTGCTTAGCACTTTCTGAAAATCAAGTTATCTGAAGTTGGGAACCCAAAGTCACTAGTCACTTACAAAGATCTTGGTCATATAGAATATTGAACATATACAACATTAAATTTAAATTCTGTATTTTTAAAATACTGATTTGATTCCAGTCATTATTATTACTATTATTTGTATGATCTAAGTGCCTGGGGCCACAGGACCCCACTGTGCTAGGTGCTGAACAAACACAAAACAAAAAAAACAGTCCCTGTTCCAAAGTGCATACAATCTAAGTATATTATAAGAAGAAAATAGACAGACAAAGACAGTCCAACAGGGGAATTAAAAGAAAGTGAGACAATATTGCAGTATTGCCAAACTCAACAGATCAAAAAACCTGAGCCAGACCCCCAAAAATCATGAAATTGTCTCACACAGAGCAGGGATGGACGGGGAAGCTCAAAAATCAAAAGACAGACCAAAAACACAATATAATCTTAAAAATAAAATTTCCTGATTTTTGTGAGGGAGGAGAATCAATGTTGCCTACTCTCCCATATGTATAAGGTAAGGGGATTTGGGGACTCTAGTGCAGGAGCTCTTAGCTCCCATATCTCCTGCCCCATGCCCAGCAATTAATTCTGCCTCCCCCTCCCCCCAAATCAATCCTGTCCACCAGTTCTCATAGGCCACACAACCAGGGACATCACCTGGGTCATGTCCCAACCACTTTTAAGTAGGTACCTGGAAAAAAGGGTTGCTTTCTGGCTGGTTTTTGACTAGCCTGGGAGATATTTCTACTCGCTTGGTGGCTGCCAGTCAAGAGTTGTCATTTGCTGGGGTTTTGCTATGCACATGTGTACCCGCACACACAGCAATCCCATAACTTGTGGCCACAGCACTCCATTGGCTAGGAGTCCACAGCTGTACAGTTGCCACCTTTCTAATTGTTGGTAACCAGACTTCTGAGTCCTTGCTCTCACCCTGCCTCTTCCCCCCGAGGCCCCACCCTTGTCACTCACTCCTCTGGCCCCGTCCCCGGATCTTCTCAAGGAGCCTGCCTGCAGGTAAGAGGCAGCCCCAGATAAGCAAGGGCTGGTGCAGGTTAATGACCTGTTGCCTCCCCCATTCCAGTAACAGCTGGGCTTTTGGTTCGGGTGCAGTGTAGGTGCCTGGTTTGCGAAAAGGAGACCTGGCAGCCCTAAATGGCACCCAGACATAGAAGCCAAAAACCAGACTGTCCAAGTAAAACCCGGATGGGTGGCAACCCTACGTGGCTGCTGGTTCCTGCTCTGGGAGCGTCACCTGTTACAGGCTGGGTCCTTGCCTGCCAATGGCCGAACCCACAACGGCTCCTCTCAGCGCTGGGGAGCAGCTGCCAAGTGGGACAGACCCATCACCCGAGGGTGAGGCCCACCAGCAGAGAGGGGTAAGGTAAGGGCAGGAAAGGGGAAGCAGGGGCACCTGGGAGGAGTTGGCAGGCGGGGGGGGGGGTCCTATGATGGGGTGGATGGGGTCAGCACCTGAAGGGGGAAGCTCGGGAGGGGGAGGGGAGCATTCTAGGCCCACACTCACTGTAAATGGCGCCCTTCGGTCCCTGGTTCAGCCCCCCAGCCTCATCTCTGCTCCCCCGTCCAGGCTGGGGAGGGGACTGTTTCAGGGGCCCTTCTCCCCCTGACCCTCTGCAGACCCCAGTGCTACGGGGACGGCGGGACTCTCCAGCTCGCCTCCCCTCCTGTGCCTTTGCCTTCGCCTTCGGGTGGCTGAGGAGGGAGAGAGAAAGAGACCGCGCACGCTCAGCCTCCAGCGGCTGTGATTGGTTGCGCTGCCTGAGGAGGCGGGCAAGAGGGAGGAAGACAGCCAATCAGAGGGCTCAAATCTGCACGAGGGCGGGCGCGCCAACCGTCCGTGCCAAACAGACTCAAGCTCGTCTTTAAAGTGGGAAAAGGGGCGAGCGGGAGCAACGCCAACGGTCTGCCTCGGGTCACGAGGGGCCGGGGCAGAACGCACGTGCCGCGTGACCTGAGGGCTGTCCGCAAAGAGCGCCGCGTGTCAGGGCCACGAGGGGACCCGCTAAACGCGGAGGCGAGGGGCAGGTGAGGCGCTGTGGGGGCTGTAGCTGCCCAGGCCGGGGGCGCCGCCACCGCGCTACACAGAGCTGGGTCGGCAGCGCTTTTACCTTGCAGCTCACGCTCCCGACACCCCTTTCCTGGGCTTCAGAGCCCGAGCTCAAGGCCAAACCCTCTACACAGCTGATTTTAGCGCGGCAGCCCCAGCCTGTCGCCTCAGGCTCAGAGGCTCGCTGCCTCGGCTGTGTAAATGTACCTCTGGGGGTCAGGGGAAGCATTGGTGCAAACAGCACAGCGTAGGGACAGGCAGAGCCCTTTCTGCAGGTTCACTGGAATGTCCTAAGGTGGAAAAGGGCCATCCTGTGGCTGCTGGCTGGAGTATGTGGTGGGCTGCTCTGCAGACTGCCCCCAACGCCACAGGGGGGAGGGGAGGCACCAACTGGACCCTAGTGCCCCCAGAGTCTCCCCTGCACAGGTCTGGGTCCACAGAGGATCTGAGAGGGGTAGTCTAATCCGAGCCCCGTTTTACCCCCTTCCCTCCTAGGGCAGCAGCCCCTGCTTTGGCGGCTTCTGCTCCTACCAGCTGGAGATTCTGCGCCCTCAATCAGAGCCCCCAGCAACTGATTCATTTATTTAATTAGAACTTTTCCCTGTGCTTTCATATACTCATCTCTATTACTGACCCATTCAAAATCTGAGAATTAGTCCTTTCATTAGAATTAATAGTTTTTTCCATGCATGAAGGGGCCCACAATGCATTTGGAGTGTCACTATCCCATATAAAACTGTTTAGTTGGTACCCAGGTATTTATACCACGCTCATCATAATATTTTACAAGAAAAATAAACCATTACTGCCAGATAGTTCCCTCATTTTGTGTCTGTGATTGGTAATCTGTGTAGTTATTAGCATTTGTTTTTCTCTGCATACCATATGTGCATTGGTGCTATTAATTTCTTTGTGTTAATCTGTCTATTATGTTTAGGAGACACAGTGTTTAAACAATTTAATTACATTCCCTTTGGCTTGCATTGTAAAGATATGGCTATCAAGCAAGGACTTTTAACTATGAAGGGTAGCTCCAAAGCAAAGACTGTATGGTAGGGTGGTTTGGTACAAAGGTTATAATGGCATGCATTTGGTGTGTGGAATTATTCATCAATGGTAAAGCCAATTACTATACAGACCATCCCAAATGAGTACCAATAAAATCTTTGTATCGTACCACACCAGTGAATAAGCTGTTTGTGCCACATATTTTATAGAAAATCTTTTTTTAGAAACATTGTAGAGGGTTGTATAACCACAAATTATTGATACTGTTTTCCATATTACTCTTCCTATAAACCCTTGGTGCAATGAGTCCTCCTGCAGAGGAGAGAGAAATTATCATTACTAAATTGTACACATCTCTCCCTCATGCCTGTGATAATATATAGAGAGAGGTTAGGTCTGGAAGTGTTGTCTAGAGGCACCCACCCTTATATAAGGACAGGAGTTCCTCTAACTTATTTTTGGAAACTTGTACACCAGTTTCTGAACCTTATGCAGGTATCCCTTAAACACATGGTGATGGTATGTCAGCAGCTTCTTATAGGAGATCACTCCATTGTCTGATTGAGTTTACTGTGGAAGTTTTGCCAATGTAACTTGGATTTTCTTTTTTCTAAACTCAGGTTTTTACTCCTGGTCTCATCCCATTTTACTTCCTTCCCTTCTCTTCTTTTTTTTTTTTTAAAAACTAGCTCTCCGATAGTTATAGACCATTGTTCTACCCCTAGCCCTGCCATGTCTTTTCCAAACATACCCACTTCTTTAAATGTCTCCTTACAGGACACCTCCTCTAACTTCTCTTTTCACCTTTTTTTTTTTTTTTGCCTTTGTTTACGCTCTTTACTTCAACTCTGGCCTTTATGAGGCCCAGAAATGAACACAGGAAATTATCTGTGGTCTTACTAACATGGAATAACAAGAAATTGTCAACTATCTGGGGCTGTCTACGAGAGGTGTAGATCCATCCCAGAGCACCATTTGCCTCTTTACAACAACGCTATCATGTCATGTTTGCATGTAATGTGCTTCCCGGTACTCTTTTCCCCAACACTCTATCTGCATCACTATGCTCTAGCTAATTTTCTTCCTCTGTGTATTTTGACCTGGTGACTTTTCTAGTATATTATTTACATTAACGGAAACTCAACCCATTAGTCTTTGCCCATTTTCTAAACTCTCCAGGTCCTCTGCCATTTTACTCCATGGTATTAACCACCCCTCCTACTTTTATCTCATCACCACATGTAATTAGTTTACTATTCACCTCGTATTCCAGGTCACTTTAATGAAAAAAAAGATTTGCATTACAATAATGTCCAGAGATTCCAAGAAATTCAGAGCTCCACAGTGCTGGGAACTGTACAGACACATTATAAAACACAATCCCTGCCTCAAAGTGAAGACAAGATGTTACCCTCATCCTCCCTCTGCTTGTGTGTAACAGTGATAGGAACATGTGAATTGGAGAAGATGGGGATTAATATGAGAATTGAAAGTTGGCTAAGGAACTGGTTAAAGGGGAGACTACAACAGGTCATACTGAAAGGGTGAAATGTCAGGCTCGAGGGAGGTTAGCAGTGGAGTTCTTCAGGGATCAGTCTTGGGATCAATCTTATTTAACATTTTTATTATTGACCTTGGCACAAAAAGTAGGAGTGTGCTAATCAAATCTGCGGATGACACAAAGTTGTGAGGTATTGCCAATACAGAGGAGGACCAGAATATCATACAAGATGAGCTGGATAACCTTGTAAACTGGAGTAATAGAAATGGGATGAAATGTAATAGTGCAAAGTCATGCATTTAGGGACTCTCATCAATAATTTTTGCCATAAGCTGGAGACTTACCAGTTGGAAGTGACAGAGGAGAAAGGCCTGGTTGACCACAGGATGACTATGAGCCACCAATGTGATGTGGTTGTGAAAAAGGCTAATGCAGTCCTAGGATGCATCAGGTGAGGATTTCCAGTAGAGATAGGGAAGTGTTCGTACCATTATACAAGGCATTGGTGAGACCTCATCTAGAATATTGTGTGCAGTTCTGGTCTCCTATGTTTAAGAAAGATGAATTCAAACTGGAGTAGTTGCAGAGAAGGGCTACTTGGATGATCCGAGGAATGGAAAACCTACCTTATGAGAGGAGACTCAAAGACCTTGGTTTGTTTAGCCTAACCAAAAGAAGGCTGAGGGGAGATATGACTGCTTTCTATAAATACATCAGAGGGATAAATACCAGGGAGGGAGAGGAGATCTTTAAGTTAAGCTCCAATGTGGACACAAGAACAAATCGATATAAGCTGTCCATCAATAAATTTAGGCTTGAAATTAGATGAAGGTTTCTAACCATCCAAGGAGTGAAGTTCTGGAATAGCTTTCAAGGGGAGCCGTGGAAGCAAAAAACCTAACTGCCTTCAAGACTGAGCTTGATAAATTTATGGATGGCATGGGATGATGAGACTGCCTACAGTGGCATGTAGCTGATCTGCGACAGCTAGTGGCCAGTGGTGGGAGTCTAGATGGGGAGGGCTCTGAGCTATTACAGAGAATTCTTTCCCAGGTGTCTGGCTGGTGGGTCTTGCCCACATGCTCAGGGGCTAACTGACTGCCACATTTGGGGTTGGGAAGGAATTTCCCCCCGGGTCAGATTGGCAGAGACCCTGGGGGGGTTTCGCCTTCCTCTGCAGCATAGGTCACTTGCAGGTTTAAACTATAGTAAATGGAGGATTCTCTGTAACTTGAAGTCTTTAAATCATGATTTGAGGACTTCAGTAATTCAGCCAGAGGGCTATGGGTCTATAACAAGAGTGGGTGGATAATGGTCTGTGGCCTGCAATGTGCAAGAGGTCAGACTAGGTGATCATGGTGGTCCCTTATGACCTTAAAGTGTATGAGTCTATGTGGGTACATAGATCAGGTTGGTGCACACACAGCAGCAACATTGCTGGGCGCTTTTTAAATGATAAGGACCAGAGGCTGCTTTGCACTGCTCCAGCTATTCAAAACAGCCTTCAAGTCAGTTTAACCAACTGCTTGGGAAATCCCCAGTAAAGGAGAATCTAAAGACTATATAGAGCCTGTGTACTCAAGGCCACACAGTGAATCTATGGCAGAGCTGGGGAGAATCCAGTTCTCCTGACACCCATCCCTGTACTTTAATGACTAATCCATGTGTCCTCCCTTAATATGAAGATATTAAACAGTATTAATTCTAATACAGATCTCACTCAGGACCTCCCCCTATACAGGCTTCTTGCAGAACATCCCCAGTCTACCAGGGATTTGGCCAATGGAAACCCCTGGAGACCCTGATTAATTACCTGTGCTTCTCTGTTTGACTGCTTTGTATCTATTCATTTCATTTATCTTGATGACACCTTATCAGTTTTTTAATTTATTGTTATTGCGAAAGGATGATATTTAATTGGCTTCTGACAGAATACAGCAAGAAGCGTCTCTTTCTTTAGCAAGTAAATTATAAGAGAACATTTAAGTGGGTAGAGAAAGAAATTAAAAAGAAAAGTTAGAAAAAGAAAAAATAAAGGAACTAAATAGGTTAAAAAATAGAGGAGAGGTGTAAATTCATCAGCTTCTCCCTAGGTTTCCCTATGTACAATCTTGTTGCTGCTATT